AAATTCAGAGATGCTCTGACATGCACGAACACACATGTGGGAACACACACCGTCCACTTTGCCCTGTCATGTCACAGCACAGTCCAGGTGGGCGTCTCTCCGTAGTGCCATGTCCACAGGCTATCGTGCTTCATGATTGGTTCATCTGCTCCACATGTCTGTGCTCATTGGTCTAGGCAGTGGTAGTTTGTCTCTGTGGAAATGTTTCATTTTGTACTGTGCCCCCATTTTTGCCTGAAATGTGCAGTCATTTTCACATTAATCTATAGGCTGCTCACGTTTACTCACTCGTACCCTGCACAATGGCTCCCATAAGCCTTTTTGTCATATTCACAGAACTCATCATGCATATTGCAAAGATTAATCCTCTTAATCTCATGAAGTGCTCAGGTGGACTCCACATTTCATATTTTTGGCTATACTTAAGAGTAGGCTATATAGAAAAACATGGCTGTGTGTCTTATTCATCAGCATCAAAATAAAGACTTTTGCCAGAGCTGTTTGAGTAAAAACAGCTTCTTCCTCAAATGCTTTCACCAATGTTTAATCTCACACCACAGACTTACAGGTCAGTTAAATAGTTACATGTTTTTTTTTATAAGCAAATTTAACTGTGCAGATAACTGAGACAATATAAGGATTCAATAGGTTCAAAGGGAAACCCCTTGTAAATGACTCATTCTGTGGTGTTTACAGTTGTCCAAATCTTCTCCCTCTCCTCATGTATGTGTGTTTTGTATAGAATGCTAATGTACAGTATAGTGGGATGTGTACTACGAGCAGTGTTTTTGCAGGGGAGCAAAGAGACAAGTATTTTGGCTAGTACAGCAAGCCAGAGAAAGCTCAGAGAAACGACTGCCTCTGTCCTTAATCTCTTAATACTACTTGATGGCATAAAAAAGTAACCTATTCCACCTACCCTTTCCCGTGCTCTCCTACCTCTCTGACTCCTTGCCTGAGGTGCTTATCCATGCCCTTTGTCTTCCATTTCTGTATTTCTCTCTTATCCTCAGTATTTTTCCCACTTAAGTAGTGCCGCTTATCCTTCACTAAACCTCTTTCCTCGTACACTACGCTGCCTTTTCTTCTCTTCCCCTTCAACCATTACTCGGTTCTTTCACTGTGATCTCTTCACTTCAGTTTTTGTTTTTGCCCCTACGCAGGATCTCTTCTCCTCTTTACAGTTTCACACATTTTACCACCACCCCTTCACGTCTTTTCCCCTCAAGTCAATCCTTTTTTCTGTCTCTCCACAGGGATGTGAGGCGTCTGGTGGTAGCCATGTCAAGAGCCAGACTGGGCCTGTACATCTTTGCCCGAGTGTCACTGTTTCAGAACTGCTTCGAATTGACTCCTGCCTTCAACCAGCTCACTGCCAGACCACTGCAGCTACACATTAGACCACACGAGTACTACAACCAGGAACAGCCTGTAAGCAGTCATACCCATGCTCATGCTGATCTCATAAAACCTACCATATTAGATCTGCCCCATTATTCTGCCCCATTAGATATTCAAGTGGGAGATATGCTGATAAGAACTGAGCTTCTTTCCCACGGTTCAGGCCAGTGCCTATTTCCATAAAATTCGTGCCGTCTTCACCATCCCACCACGTCATTGCCGCTACAGCCCACTGGCTCGGTCTAATTCCCCCCTTTTTATATTCAGAGTGGAATCTTCATTCCACTCAGAATATTGGTCCTCACTGGTCCCACTTCTTACTGCAGCTTTACCCAGTCTGGTAAGAGCATTCTGCAGACCAGCTGCAAAGATGAGAAACACAGTTATGGCTATAATTAACCCCAAAGGTCAGAAGACAAAACCACCGACTGACCAGCATGAAACGACCATTGTCTGGTCACAGTGTCTCACTGACAGGCGTGTTTGGCAACAGTGATGTCTAAAATACCCAATAGCCTCTCTGACACTAGAGTGTTCATCCCCATGGGGGACAGTTCTTTCGGGCACACACATGTGGCCCCTGCTTAGCCCATCTATCTAGAGTCAGTAAACCCCCGCTGCTTACACGCACATGTAGATTAAAAGTCAGACTTTGTCAAGCAACACTCAACTGGAAGTGTCACGGGCTATTTAACGGTGCTAACTCAGAAGCTGCTATAAAAAAACAAAGCTGCCTAAAGCTTCATATGGAAACATACATATTCGATCTATAATCATATGCAGTTATCATATTCTCTCCCCCCAGTGTTTTTAATGAAGGTTTTACTGCAGTGAAAGCACACAAAGTTAAACTGTGGAGTAGTATACTTTGACATGATGCCCCCAGGGCCTCTGTGGGCATCTCCCCTGTATTTAAGAGGCATCCGCCAAGCAGATTGAATATTCTGCTTGCCTCAGTCTTCAGTTTAGCCTGCAAGACTCTGTCTGCATACTAATATTATCAAATTAAAAACTCTGCATCCCTGACTTCTTTGGTAATACATGAGCAGTGATCACTGGAGAGGGAAATTTGTTTGAAATAACCAGCGGGTAGCAATGGGCTGCTGAATTGTAATTTCTCTGCACATTTTACCTCAGATCAATACTTAACCAAGTCCGTGTGCCTGAAAGAGTGATCCCTAGCAAGACCGATGAAAGTTCTTCATTGTAATTCCTCTCTGATCGCATCCTGGGCTGAAATCAAACTTCTTTTGTTTCTACCTTTCAGCGAGATACTTCTGGACAGCCTGACCAAATTGTGAAGAACATGCCGGAAATGGCCAACCTGGTGTATAATATGTACATGCACATGATCCAGACCTCCCAGCAGTACAGACAGGTAAAGACCACAAAGTGGACTGTGTGAAAGGAGCCATATAAATCAACCAGCAGCACACCTACTATGTTTATGATACTGCGATATCATAAAAGTTTCTTCTGTGATACACCTGAGGCAGTTTAAAAACTGGCAACCATCCTGCGTTGACACGCTTACAGATGTCATCAACTTTCCTGGCAGCTGTCAGCGCCTGTCCCCAGCTGCCATTTTTGTATTTTTAATCTTTAACTTTTAATGGAGTACAGTAAATAGGTCAGATGTAAGAAATGTAGAGAAGGAACGGGCTACACAGAACAATGTAGTTTTTCAACATACATTTATCATCATTTATAGAGAAATAATAGTAGATACTAAAAACATGTGTACTTAAAAGGAAGAGACATTTTATTATAAAGCTATCTCTATTAAAATACCCTCAACAACGAATATGTTCCTGTAGATACACCTATATGTCAAACACTTATTTGCCACGCTGTTACGAACACCTAAATCCAACTAATGCATTTTGAGTGCTGCAGTAAATCCATGAAGATAGTGATGTTTATTTTTTCCTTCATATGCGTAGACGTGTGTAATGTAATAGACGTTTTAGAGGCCACTGTTCATAGTGGTGTTCAGTGGCATTGTGGTAGACTGACAGGCTCTGCAAAAAGAACTTAAAGAAAATTGCAAAGGATGGACTCCTTGCAGGGTTTTTGTATAAGATTACATCAGTTTTGGCCGTGTGCTCTTTATAATCAGTTAGCTGAGTATATTTGACAATATAATGCCAAAAAAAGTGGAAATATTTTCCTTTGTGTTTTGAACATTTCCCTTTTCTTTTGGCTTCTCAGCAGCAACAGCAAGAACTGGCTCTGCCTCCAAAACAGACCCAAAAAGATGCTGGCGCTTTGTCGACCACTGCTACATCTAAGGAGCCACAGGAGGAAACCCCCATGGAGCAGGAAAACCCAGAAGGAACGGTGAGCACAGAGCCAAACTCGGAGGACGCCGGCGAGAAGGAAGGAAACAAGGATACTGACGGCCATGCTAAGATGCCAGAGCATCCTGGTAGAGACAGCGACAGCGATGGAGAGAGCGCAGATGAGCAAGAACAGTAGAACATCCTGACATGGGACTACCATAGAGGGAACAAGTGGATCCCCTGAAGAGAAATGTAGTGCTTAGTCACCTATTTTAAATCTGTTTTCTACTGAGAGAAGATCATTGTGATGTTTTGTTATTTTTTTCTAAAACATTTGATTTTTGTTACTATCAGTACTTTATTAAAAAAAATCTATTCAGACTGTGGCATCATTATACTAATACCATTCTATGGGTGTCCCACACACAACCAACACATACAGCTCTGTGCTAAAGTATTAATCCCCTCCTCATTTCCCCGCAAACATTTATATAAATACAGTATATAAGGCAAAAAAAGAGTTTGTACAATTCTAATAAGATTGAAAGTCAATATTTGGTATGACCACCTCTATTCTTTAAACAGCTTGAACTCACTTGCAATTTTTTTAAGTAGTCTCCGGGCTTCTTGAAGGACATTCAAAGCTCTTTGGATGTTGGCTGCCTTTTGTTCCATATCTGTCAAGATGATCCCACACTGATTTAATAATGTTTAAAGTCCTGGCTCTCGGGGAGGGGTCAGTCCAAGACTGATAGAAAAACACACAGAGAAACACTATCTTAGTGCACTGGCAGTGTATTTGGGATCATTATCATGCTAAAAAAATATGATATTTCCAATCACATACTTTCCAGATGGCATTTCATTGTGGATTAGAATCTGATGGTACTTTCCTTTGTTCATAATTTCATCAATTTTGACAAAATGTCCAACACCACTGGCTGAAATGCAACTCCAAACCTTGAGAAGTCTCCACTGTGTTCTACAAAGGATGATCTGATATCCTCGTGTTGGTGTTGTTCCCAGACCATCATGAAAATGTTGTTCCAGGTTCAACATTGCAAGTGACCAATCACATTGTTGTGACGTTATTCCTTTGCGCGCCAAGCCATGCGTTTATGAAATTCCAATGTTGCAAGGACAATATCAATTCTGCTTACTGTTTATTAAAGGGTTACGATTAGGGTCAGGGTCCGTTGATCGGTGGACAGAGGCGGTTTCACGCAGCTTAAGTACAGTTTTTTGTTTTACGCCGGTTTTTCCCGAAGTCGCAAAAGTATGACGTCACAACATTCTGATTGGTCACTTGCAACGTTGATCCTGGAACAACACCAACACGACGATATCAGATCAACCTTCTACAAATGTCTGCAAACACTCACTGTTGTTCCCTTCCCTGATCTCCTCTACGTACTTAAAAGGATTTAAACCAAACATTTCACATGTTTGGAGTCATTGCTCCAAAAGACCTGTCGTCACTGAGTTTCAGTCCATTTCTGGTGTAATTTGACATACCTTAGGTTTTCCCCATTATTTCTCTTCTTTTAAAAGATGGTTTCTTTGACTGATAGAATCTCTGTCATGATACTTTTATATATTCATCTACTTCATTCTGCATAAAGTACAGCTCAGATTTCATTGGCTGAGCCTGTATCAGCAACAGAAGCTTCAAAAAAGCTCCATTTGTAGGTCAGTCACTATATCCAAGTGTGCGTGTTGGGGGATTTCAAGTTATCTGCCATTCATGATTTGTGCACTAACAGCAAAGTGTTTTCACAGCTGAATAAATGTTAGGGTTAACATATGATGACCAGATTGAAGAAAACAATCAAGCAGGCAAACTATATATGTTGACTTAAAACAGCCGGAACTTGGTGATTTAAACATCAATAAATTAATTAAAATGAAGAGGTTAGCACAGTCCACAACCCTGCAGGCAAAAACACAGACCGGAAATTAATTCACTGTCATGCACCAGAGCATTTTATTTTTATTGTTACATCATACCTCAGGCAGGTTGATGGAACAGGTCAGCTGCACAGCTGCTTGTGCCTGGGTTAGTTAAAAGACCTGATGGAGAACCATGTGTTGCTGGATGTGGAGTAACATCAGTGGAACTCAGTCAAGTGTGGAGCCATGAAACGTCTTTCTTATTTCCTGTCTCCTGAGTGCAGGGCACTCTGGGTTAAGGTATAAAGTAGGTATTCTGGAGTCATAAGACACGTGTTTCTGTTGGCTAAGGAAAGGATTAGAATGAGTGGTTAGATAAGAGGTTACCTCTGTTGGCTCAGGACTTTGGGCACATATAAATTGCTAAAAGTTTTGACATGGAGCCAACAACAATATCTGTGTACTGTGTCACATAAGGATTAAATATTTTATAGGTTTTACGCTAAGAGTGAACAACTAGCCTAGGTGCAGATGTATCAAATATTCTGTTGCATTACCAGCTCCTAGAAACCCATGACACCAGGCATACTTTTCTCTTGAGTCACATGAATGTCTGCATTGTGTAATATCCTGCCTCTATTAAACTTCTGTTTTCAGCTTGCCTCATGAGAATTTAGTTGCCTGTGGTACCTTGTTGTAGTAGATTAGAGCTAACTGGTGGGACGTGGCTACTGCTCTCTCACACACACACAATCATCATCTCTGTGAATCTCCAGGAGGATCAGGGAGATTTTCTACAAGCAAGAAGGAAACCAGGTGCACACGTCCTCCAGAACCGTTCTTCTTTCCTGCTGAAGGTGAACATGTCTTTTGTACTCACACGGCAGGTATTCATTGGGTTAATAGCTACTTTGCAAAGCTCTCAATTCTAACCTTTGCTAAGGGCTGATTCATGAGTGAGACTAACAGCATGCAGTCGCACTGTGTTGAATAATCATTAGCGTTTTGCTGACTTGTAAGGTGAATTTAGAGGTTCTGATAAAATTGACATCTTTTAATAGGTTCAGATTTAGGGTGGTTTATTTGTGTTTGGTATTTGGTTATTTAAAGGTGCTTGTGATCAAATGTAACAACGCAAAAGCAAAAAAAAAAAAAGCTGAAGAAGAGGAATTTTAAGTATTTTCACATCATGTTGCTGTAATCATTGTACTTTAGTGGTTCCTCTACCTCGTCTTTTTTTTTGTTTGTTTGTTTTAAGTGAGAGCGTTTACCAAAGCACGGGATCCACCATGGGACAAACTCGTGTTGAATCTTTAATCTACTGCCCAACACTACGTGACAGCAGTGTCACAACAGGAAATTACACATTACATAGAGTTAAGACAGCAAAGCCTGGAGGGGAAGAGGATCTGACCATTGTGTCTTAAACCTAAACTAAGCTCAAGGAATCTGACAACACACAACACTTTCGCGCTCGTAAAACCATCAGTTTTACAATCTCAACTTCAAGGCCTGTCCTTGGGGCAGATCTTGTACAGTTTTATTGGACAAAAACATTTACAGCCTGATTGCTCAGGCATAAGATTGCATTTTGTAAAATAAAAAACTTTTCTCATAATTAGGTTTTTACACGTTTTTGCTGCTATACTAATATAAATCATCAAGTCAGATGTATGCACACTTTGCACAGTACAGTATACTTGTTATGAGTTATGATCTCTGCTGATCTGCTCATAGTGGCTGACTAATGTGCCTGCACAGGTCTTCAGCATTGTGTAAGTTTTGACCTCCAGTGGGTATGCAGATCTGGTGATTACTACCAGCTTAGCGTGCTTTGTCAAGACTGGTGCCTAATCCTGTACATACAGATCATTGACATGACACATTTCAATCTAATAATCTCCTATCATCACTAAAGAAGCACTGCCGCTCACAGGAAACACAGTAGCCACTGAGGTGACTGACCCACTATTGTATGCCATCTAAAGTGCTCTTTACCGCACAGTGTGTTAGAGCTGTTTAACTAAAGTAAAAGCATTTGCCTTTGGAAAGTGTGCCCACCTTGGGGGAAATCATCATTCTAAGCTTCTTCTCTTTTTTTCCCAGACTAAGATGGCCACTTGCGGGTCATGTTTCTGGTGCATCATATGGCTCATTGTTCTGCTGTTCATTGGCTGGCCCATCAGCATCGCTTTAGGGGGTCTCTACGGCCTCATCAGCCCCCTCACCACCTGCCTTGGTCTGGACCGACTGTCTGATTTACTCCTGGAGGGAGCTAATGTGGGCAGAACCTGTGCCAATAACATGAGGCACAGCAAGCCTTTGTGTTGAAATCCATCCTGTCTGATCAGGACCAGAAAAAACAGAGGTCGAAGCCTTCACCTCAGGAAGAACTGTTAATGTCTGATTTATGTGGAGCTATTCCAGCCCGACTGGTGCATAATTCCCTGAGAAACCTTCCAGCAACTTATGTCACAATAAGGTCCAGAAAGTCCTGGAAAATTGATTCCTCTCTCACTGGTAACATGTAATTAACTACAGATTTTAAATTTGCATGGGTTTGTCAGGAAGAAAATAGGCTTGCAGTGCATGGTCTGTGTTTGCTGTTTAATTCACGATGACGCTGCGTGGAGACGATAAGAACGAAAATGCCAATTTAACAATGAAAATATTTAGACTTGGTAATGTCTGTATGGAAATATATGGAAATGCGATTAAAACTGCTTTGAACTTGCCCTTCGTGTTTGTTAATTGACTTTTGGTGCACGTATTTTGAGGAAAATCCATGCCGTGAAATACTGAAAGTAAGTGGGGAGAAAGAGAGAGCTGCAGATTTGAACAGATTCATTTTACATTTCCTTCATTGAGTTTTATCTACCTGTGTTTTCACATTAGGGGGTCGCAGATGTTTGAGTCTCATCACAAAATTAATTAAATTGAAGTCAAGGAGACAATATTGAGACATGCTCTCTAGGTCATGCCAAGCTCAACACAGCTTTCCACACACGATTTACTTTCCAGCTAGCTTTCTTCTGATTGGCTGCCCCTCACAAACAGTATGTATGGACAGCAGGTAAGTGGGGCTTTGGGGCTCGCAACCATTGCCATGTTGCTAATATGACCACATTAAGGATATCCCTTCTCTTTGACATCATACAGAGCCGAGACCTGTCTGTTTAATATGAGCTTCCACTGCTGTAAAAGTATGCATACGACAAGAAAATGAGGAAAACCAAAACGATGACTTTAAATTATTGTTCTGGCCACCTGGAGGCAGTGAAGTAAGCAGTACACACAAATATTAGAGTTTTTAAAGATATGTATATAGACATACTTTGTTCAGCCACTGTCAGCTTTATCCCTGTTTGGAATTTGATGGTCACTGTTGCACGGTATAAGAATTTATTATTAGTAGTAAAAAACGTTTAGAGCACTTCTGATAACACAGCACCAAACTGACCACACTAAGTCAGCAAAACACTGGAAAAGCACTCAGAAAATAAATGTTAAAATAAAATGATTTACTGGCAGAGAGCTGCTAACCCTCGCACTTGCGGGTAGATCATAAACTTCTCTATCCGCTTCTCTAGTGTCAACTTTCCAGTGATAAATGGAGTGTTCAGAACCATTAGCTCAAAGATTGTCTAAGCTACTTCTATCTGTACTATTATTTCTACAGAGGAATTTGTAATAACTTTGAGACTGCAACTGGCACTGGACTAAACAATAAACTTGTTATGAAAGTTTTGAGGTTAAGGTTCAGTGTATAGACCCAATTTTCCTTTGCAAACATACATCTTAAGTAAACACTGAAAAGTTAAAAAAAAAAAAAAAAGAAAAAAAAGAAAGGGAAAACTCTCCAAAGAATTACCGTCAAGGGGGCTCAAAGTGCTGCAGGGCTGAACAGGCGTTTTGACATTGTGGGGTCCAGTCTGAGGAAGTTATTGAAAATTTTAAAAGTGAAAGCCCAAAGGAAAACTTAAATGGTTCTCAGCCTGGCTTTGTGAGCCAATTATAATTAATCTGAGCTATTTCATCCGATAATTGGATAATGTGCTGTTTGCTGAGCTTTTTGGACTTCATGCAACATAAAATCCAAAACTATTTTACGTGATTAAAGGCTAGAGCTATGTCACTGGACATTCAGTATTCAATAAACACATTATCCACTGTATAAGATAAATAGAGCCAGGTGTTGGACTAGCCAATGTGAAGATGTTGATCTTGTTCAAATCTCTGTATTGGCAGAAGGCAAAAAAGTAATCAGTATGTTACTTTTCTTTGATTAATAACTTTCAGATAAAACCGTACAACCATATAGTTTATATACTTTTTTGTTGTTTTGATGTTTATAATGAATTCTTTTCTGTTTCCTATTTCTTAAAAACTTTTCATTACTGGTGTTTTCATTTTATTCACTACTTTATTTTATTCTGTGTTTTATTCATGGATATTCAAGCATTACGCAATTCCACATTCTTCTGACCTTAATGCCCTTTATTCTTTGTCTTTTTCAAATAAACTGCCATAAAACTTTAACTTTGACCTTAAGTCAAGTTAAGTCTATGCTATTATTCCATGTAGTGTCTCAGAGGGACATTAGCCTATGTTTAATTCCATTTCTTTAAGGCTAATTGTTACATTCAACCCACATGACTCAGTGCAGTGTGCCGTGAGCTACCATGACAAATAGGGGAGGAATGCTTGTGCTTGACCAAACATTTTAGAGGAAGATCATGGTAAATTATCATTTTCATCTAGCACATACTAATTTAGTGACCGTAAGCCACCTTTTTGCTCTGTTACTGCTGTTGGGGTGAGTAAGATTTGCTCTAGTAAAGCTTTGTTGAGCCGTGAGACCAGCAGTAACTGTGCTCATGAGTTGTTCTTTTCTGGGAAAAAAGGTTACTACGAAAGCATAAAAGCTTCTTTCCCCCCCAGTACCCTTCACTTGTAGTAACCGGCAACCTGGAAAAGAACCAAAGCTAAAAGGCAAAAGGTAATGTGGCTCCAGAGGTTAAGTGGAACATTCCACTCTGGTCTCTTTGAAATGGGGGATCTGCCATGACTCATCAGCGAAAAAATATATTGAAAGCATGTGCAGTGGTGGAATATAACGAAATACATTTACACAGGCAATGTATTAATCACAGTTTTAAGGTAACTACAGTTCTCACTTGGCTACATATAAAAAACAACAACAACAACTATGTATA